GCCATTATTGATATATGCCACTGGTTGATTTACCGGCCATCCCCCTGGCAGATCCAACATTTTTAGAGAGTTCCCAGATAGATGTTCTGATCTGAGCCGACATTTTACCGTCCGTGTTGCTGAGCGGCACGCGCACCAACATTTGCGGCTCGCTGCTAGGACAGGAGACTATTTTCGGCTGGGTGCTTACCGGCCCAGTGTCCAATGCATCAGTCCAAAAGCGGGTAGCAGCTTTCACGACCCAGATAACCGAAACAAGTGACAGGGTCTTAGAAAAACTTCTCACTAAGTTTTGGGAGGTGGAGAATATACCAACAAGGAGGGTAAAGGAATCCGATTCCTATTGCGAGAGCAATTTTCTCCAAACCACCACTAGAGACGCAAGCGGGAAATACGTGGTAACGTTACCGTTTCGCGAACCCGAAAATTCGGATCCAAATTGGGGCACTCGCGATCCATTGCCCTAGCTCATCTTCTGAGGAACGAAAACCGTTTAAAAAGAGACTTTCCACTAAAAGAGCAATATGACTCAGTCATTCAAGAGTATTTGGATCTGGGTCATATGAGAGAAGTTCCCCCGTCTTACGATACTCCAAACTATTATCTTCCACACCATGCTGTGATCAAACCCGAGAGCACCACCACCAAACTACGCGTGGTATTCAATGCTTCTAGCCCTTCAGCAAATGGGACAAGCTTGAACGATATTCTTCATGCTGGTCCAGTCCTACAATCTGATTTAACCATTCAGATCTTGAAGTGGCGTTATTTCCAGTACGTGTTCAGTGCAGACATTACAAAAATGTACCGTCAAATCTGGGTCGATCCCAAGCACACGCCGTTCCAAAGAATCTTATTCCGCAACAAAGAAGGAGAAGTAAGCGATTTCGAACTAAAAACCGTCACCTTTGGTGTCAACTGTGCACCGTTTCTGGCACTTCGCGTACTCCAACAATTGGCAGACGACGTAGAAACGGAATTTCCTAAAGCAACCAATATTATTCGGCATTTTATGTACGTAGACGATGTTCTGGCAGGGGCCAATTGCATACAAGAGGCTCGACTTGCTATCAGCGAGCTTTGCCACGCTTTTAACCTTGCCGGGTTCCGGTTGAGAAAGTGGACGGCGAATCAGAATAGCATACTCGAAGCTATCCCTAACGAACACCTACTCCACGATGACTTTCGCGATCTCAATTCCGAAAGCACTACCAAAACACTGGGGGTTCCGTGGAATGCGACCTCGGACGAGTTCTATTTTGTTCCACCGCTAGTTTCGATTGAATCTACGTATACGAAGAGAGAGGTTCTTTCCCAGATCGCGAAACTTTTTGACCCCGCGGGATGGCTGTCCCCGTTTATTGTCCGCTCAAAAATCTTTATGCAAGAAATTTGGTTGCAACAGTTGGGCTGGGATGAAAATATCCCCACAGAAATGAATCAAAGATGGCAAGAGTTTTTGCGCAGCTAGTCCGAGCTCAAGCAAATCCGTAATCCTAGGTGGGTTGGGTTCCAGCCAGGTGTGAAAGTCGAGCATCATGGGTTTTGTGATGCGTCGCAGAAGGCATATGGGGCCGCAATATACTTGCGGGTTGAAGTAGGACATAATATTATGACACATCTGCTTACCGCCAAGACCCGAGTCGCACCTGTTAAAACGGTGTCCCTTCCACGGCTCGAACTGTGTGGGGCCTTGTTGTTGTCAGAAATGATCGCAGTTATCCTTCCGAATATGCAAATTTCCAATTCCGACATTTCCTGCTGGACTGATTCCACCATCGTCCTCGCATGGTTGAACAAACCGGCATGCCAATGGGCCACGTTTGTAGCCAACCGAGTGACCAGGATTACTCAGGTGACGAGCGCTGAGCATTGGGCGCATGTGCGATCTGAACACAATCCCGCGGACCTAGCCAGCCGAGGAGTTTCGCTGCAGGATCTGGTTCACAGCCAACTCTGGTGGAAAGGACCGGACTGGTTACAACAGCCAAAAGGCCAGTGGCCAACACAGGGGCTTGCGACTCCAGTTACAGACTTAGAGCAGCGTGCTGTGAAGGTCAATTTCGCAAAGGCCCCATCCGACGATTTTCTGGAGCGATTCTCCAAATTGGACAAGGCTCTGCGGGTCCTTGCGTACGTGTTACGGTTCACTCAACGCTGCCGCAAGATGCCGAGGGGCCCAGCTGACCGGCCTACAAAGGAGGAGGTCCGAGAAGCTGAAAGAGCCCTTATTCTATATGCTCAACGTGAGGAATATACCCAAGAGCTTAAATTCCTAAACGATAAGTGTCCAATTCCAGTGTCCAGCCCGATAGCCAACCTGTTTCCATTCCTAGACCAGCACGGCCTTTTAAGAGCATGTGGTCGCATTACTGCCTCAACAGCACTTCAGTATGACGAGCGCCATCCTATTATACTGCCATATAACTGTAGGCTTTCTCGTCTGCTCGTCCTTTTTTCACACCAGATTTCCCTGCATGGCGGCAACCAACTAGTGGTACGCCTCATTCGATCGAAGTATTGGATTCCTAAACTCAAGAATCTGGTAAAAGCTGTGCTAAACGCCTGTAAGGTGTGTACTATTTACAAGAAGAAATTACAGACGCAATTAATGGGCGATCTTCCGACCGATCGAGTGTCCTTTTCCAGGCCTTTTACATATACTGGCATTGATTATGCAGGCCCATTTGAAATAAAAAACTATCCCTCATTACCAAGGGATATGTTTGCGTGTTTGTATGTTTCTCCACAAAGGCGATCCATTTAGAGCCTACTTCCGACCTCACAACCGAGAAGTTCCTCGCAGCCTTTGCCCGATTCGTAGCGAGGAGGGGTTGTCCTCAGCGGGTTCATTCGGATAATGGCAAAACCTTTGTGGGGGCAGCGACTCTACTTTCGCGTGATTTTATGCAAGCGATCAAGGAGTCTGTGACTGAATCCTATAGCCATCAGGGACTTTTGTGGCGTTTCATTCCACCAGGAGCTCCACATATGGGAGGACTATGGGAGGCTGGAGTGAAAAGCTTTAAAACACTTTTCTACAAGTCGACGTCAAGTCGGAAGTATACGTTTGAAGAGCTCTCTACCCTTCTTGCCAAAGTTGAAGCGTGCCTTAACTCCAGGCCACTGTCTCCCATGTCCGAAAATCCTTCTGATTTGTTGGCGTTAACGCCAGGCCACTTTCTGATTGGGGGTCCGTTGCTTTCCACAGCTGAACCCGAAATTAAGGGCGATGCTAAGTCGATTATAAATCGCTGGCAACATTTAAAGGCCCTGCATCAGCAGTTCAGTGCGCGATGGAAAGAGGAATATTTAAAGGAACTGCACAAGCGCAATAAGTGGCAGAATCCGTCCAAAGATATACAAGTCGATGATATGGTGGTAGTCAAAGAAGACAATATGCCATCAAACGACTGGCGGCTCGGCAGAGTTGTATCTGTCTTTCCAGGGGCCGATAGTAGAGTTCGCGTAGTAGAAATCCGTACCGCTCGAGGAATTATTAAACGCCCCGTCCATAAGCTAGTACTTCTTCCTATGGAAGCCAAGGCAGCCTCAGTACTTCCAAAATAGTGACTTCTGTCCTCATGCTCCAAAATTCGTTCACGCTTGACACTAAATGTACTTATCATTTATTTTTTTTTTATATATTAAAGCATTAAAACCATGGCTCCACGACCTCGCAGCGCCCAAGCTCTGGACGACAGACGTTCCCGAGGTACTCGATCCTACCGCTGCCGTGTCTGTCGGGGAATCCATCCGCTACGGAAATGTAACAGGTTTCTGAGGCTCAGTACTGAAAGGCGGCTACGCGCCGTTATCATTAACAAATACTGCGCTAATTGCCTGGCACATCAGCACTCCGAAGAAGTATGTCGCAGTGGAGACACGTGCAAGAAATGTGGGCAGGACCACCACACGTTGCTCCATATGCGCGAGTCTTCCAGTTCGCGCCGCCAGTCAATTTCTCCAGTGCGACCTTCGGTAACTGCATCACGCCCATCGGCTTCCGGCTCACGCTCTCGGGGTCCAACACCCAGCCCGCGGAATCGTGCCCAGCATTCCGACCAGGCCGAAGCGCCAACTGCAGCTCCGTCTGTGGCGTCTCTGTTGCAGCATCGGAGTGTGCAAATCATCCCGACGGCCATCGTGGTTCTCGACACAGGAACCAATAAATACGAGACGGGTGCCCTGATCGACCCGTGTTCCCCGGTGAGCACCATTGATAGATCGCTCGCTACGGCGTTCCGGCTCCCCACGACAAGCGTCGGAGACGAGACGGTCTGTTCGGCGACGATAAGGTCACGAACAGGCACCTTCAAAATCGACGTGGTGCTCAAGGTCAGCCCCAACTTCTCCACTCGCACTCCAATCCGTGCACTAGCCGACGATGTTCGCGCTAGGTTTAATGATATCCGTCTTGCTGATGAACAGTTTCATCGCCCGGCGACGATATCCCTGGTGTTGGGCTCTGACGTCTATCGTGACGTCATCCAACCCGGGTTCCTAAATCTGGATGAGGGGCTGCCTGTCGCACAAAGCACTGTGTTCGGCTGGATTGTCTCGGGATCCTGTAGACAATCTTAAGGCGCCAGACGTGTGGAAAACTTGGTTGCTACGTTTGCCGTCGCAAGGGGGGGAGAATGTCCGCGCCAAGGAGGGGCCACTGTCCAAATTATGCGTTAACAGTCGAGAGCAGTTATGTCCAGATGAACTCTCATCTCGCTCTCGGTCTGTTAACAGTCTCCACCCCCGCTCTCCTAGCATTAGATTTAAGTAGAGTTAAGCAGTTATAACTACGAAGCCACTAAGTGAAGTTGTGCAACTTATGTGAAATAAATTATATTGAAATAAAAATCAGAGTGAATAAAAGGGAACCCAACGAGTCACCATTTCCTTCATCAATTCCACGGGCAGAAGTCCGCCACCCCCCCCAGCTTTTTCATTTTGTGGTCCTTCGAGCCGGATCGATCTGCAATTCCCAGCGGCACCGGTGGATTTTCTTCAATTTTAAGAACAAAAGATAAGTACGATTTTTACTATTTCCAACCGATCGCCATTTTGCGACTCCACGGTTTTCCTTTTTTCCATTTCCATTTTATATTCACATACGTACGTTCCAGAAACATATTTACATACGTACATTCCAGAAACATATTTACATACGTACATTCCAGAAACATATTTACATACGTACATTCCAGAAACATATTTACATACGTACATTTCCGAAAATATATTCACTTACGTACATTCCAGAAAATTATTCACATACGTACATAATTTAAAATAATAATTTTACATATCCACATTCGCATATTCGTGAAACATATACATATACGAAAATAAAATACAATACAGTCCACAAACAACAAACATTTCCAGCAAACATCCCAACCATCCCAGTTTATGTGTGTTAAAGAATAAACGCAAAGTGATCACACATATTTCAAATTAATTTTATCTTTGTCAAGTATTTGTTTACATAAACAACATCAAACAAGTGTATGTGAGAAATAACCAGACATATCAAGAGGGCTACGCACGACACGACGGAGCAGCAAATAAATTTAATAACGAAATACTCCAGCTCCACCTGCGTTTTTTTTTTGTGTAAAGTTATTTCCTTATACATATATACATATATATCCCAAGCTTGATCAACCAATTCCACTTGGGACAGTGGAAACATTCAACAGGTTTATTGTTACATTCCATTCATTCCGTCAAAGCTTGAGCGACCAAATCCACTTGGGACAGTGGAAATATTCAAAAGGGTTATTGTTACATTCCATTCATTTCGTCACATATAAAACGCGATATATTGGCATATATTATTATTATTGATTATTATTTATAAACATCAGTGCGCCATTCCATACAAGAAATAATAATAAATAACTCAAGCAATAATAAACAACTCAAGTAACCTGTGGGCAAACAAAGCATAATTAAACAATAAATACGACATTATATATAAATAATACACCTTAAAAAATTGTTTTGTTGTGTTCCAACTAACATTGTTTATTAATTTTTTCCTATCGAATTACCAAGTAGTCATTGGCAAATCCCACAGCAGCGTGACTATTCTGGATATATACAATTTATCTTTTTGATATATTTCCTATATGCTTCGTTCCAAAAAAAAAAATTGTCATTCATTCCATTCCATAAATTCCAGGTTTTTTATTTACTGCTTATTAAACCAATTAATAGTAAACATAATTTTGGAATCAAGATCAATACGAGTCCATTGATTTTAATATAAAATTGATTTTTATTTTACTGCGAATAGAGCCAATTTCCTGATCCTTATTCGAGCATGCCCATAGGGGATAAGAAAAATTTGAAGACAACCCCGCGGGTAAGCTTAGAGCGACCACGATCAGCGTCCCCTCGTGTGTCTCAGGGTAAACAAGAACCCAAAGCGTTGATTTCCAACGCAAAAAGCGACAGCTCCTTAAACGCTCCTGTAGTTCCACAAATAAAAATCACGCGATCCAGCGTAAAGATGGCCCAGCGCGACGCAGTTTTAGACAAATTTATTTCGATCTCTGACCGTCTGAGCACATTTGAAGCCAGAATAAACGTGTCAGGGGCTTCAGATCCTTCGGTCCACACGTGCCAAGTTCGACGTGATCAAATCAAGGCATTATGGGACAGGGTAGAGAACGAGTACGAAGTATGTTCAGACGCAATTCTTGCGGGGGGCGGGGAGGCGCATGCAATGTTAGAACTTCTGCAAGCCAAATATGAGCATTGCTATGAAGTTTACGAATCCTGTACCGCGAAACTCAGTGAACAAATTGAGCGAGTGAAAACTCAAACGGCCAACGCCAATTCCAACACCCTGCCCATTCCGCTTTCGTCCGGCTGCCGACTACCGCCATGCGACACTGAGGTTTTCGAAGGAGACTATTTGAAATGGCCAACATTTAGGGATCTTTTTACCGCAGTTTATGTCAACAATCCTAGGTTGACATCGGTCGAAAAAACTTTTCCATCTCAACGCTAAAACTAGCGGCGAGGCTAAGGCAATCGTGTCCAAATCCCCTCTTACAAATGAGGGTTTCAATTCAGCTTGGGAAGCACTTCGAGACCGTTTCGAAAATAAGAGACTGCTAGTAAATAGCCAACTCAAACTGCTTTTTAATTTGGGTTCCGTAAATACCGAATCTGGCCAGGCACTGAAAGACCTACAGAGCACAATCCAAGGGTGTTTGATAGCGCTGGCTCATTCCAACATTTCCACGGAGAACTGGGACTGTCTCCTGGTATTCCTGTGCGCCAGTAGATTGCCGAAACTGACCCTTTCCTTATGGGAGCAGTCCCTTTCATCCAAGTCCGACATTCCGACCTGGGATGAAATGAACACGTTTCTTAGCGAACGATACCGAACGCTAGAGGCGATTGAGGATATGAAACCCAGCCACAGCAATCACTCTACCGCTAAGAGTCAACCCGTTCCCAGGAAGCTCAACTCTTTCGAAGCCAAGGTAGTTACTAAACCAAAGAATTGCGACCTGTGCTCAAAAGAAAGTCATCCAGTGCGCTTATGCCAGCGCTTTCTCCAGATGTCTGTGGACGCGCGAACAATCTACATCAAAAAAAACAGCTTTGCCTAAATTGCTTCGCAAGAGGACACCAGCTACGTGACTGTACTAGCACTCACAGCTGTTTCACATGCCGAGCTCGGCATCATACACTGTTGCATAAAGGCAACCCCATTTCCCGTGGGTCAACTTCCGCAAGTAGTTCGTCTGCAAGCCCTCAAAACCCAGCGGTGCAAGGGGCCGCTACCGGTCTAGAAAATCCACCCAGTGTGCAGAACTATTTCGCAACCGGGGCTAGAGCGGTTTTGCTAGGCACGGCCATTATTGATATATGCCACTTGGGAACGAACTACAGGGCTCGGGCTCTAATAGACTCGGGTTCTGAGGCAACGTTTATTTCGGAACGCCTGTTCAATCTGATTAAGCTGCCATTCCGCCTTATCCAAGCCCAAGTTTCGGGCTTAAATCAAACCGTTTCCGCTCAGGCGACCAAGCTCTGCCATTTTTCTATTCGAGCCCCTAATAAGCCAGGCCTTCAGCTAGAAACCACAGCTTACGTCTTGCCCGAACTGGCTGGAATGCTTCCGTCGTACCCAATTCCACGAGATGCGCTGGTTGATTTACCGGCCATCCCCCTGGCAGATCCAACATTTTTAGAGAGTTCCCAGATAGATGTTCTGATCGGAGCCGACATTTTACCGTCCGTGTTGCTGAGCGGCACGCGCACCAACATTTGCGGCTCGCTGCTAGGACAGGAGACTATTTTTGGCTGGGTGCTTACCGGCCCAGTGTCCAATGCATCAGTCCAAAAGCGGGTAGCAGCTTTCACGACCCAGATAACCGAAACAAGTGACAGGGTCTTAGAAAAACTTCTCACTAAGTTTTGGGAGGTGGAGAATATACCAACAAGGAGGGTAAAGGAATCCGATTCCTATTGCGAGAGCAATTTTCTCCAAACCACCACTAGAGACGCAAGCGGGAAATACGTGGTAACGTTACCGTTTCGCGAACCCGAAAATTTCGGATCCAAATTGGGGCACTCGCGATCCATTGCCCTAGCTCATCTTCTGAGGAACGAAAACCGTTTAAAAAGAGACTTTCCACTAAAAGAGCAATATGACTCAGTCATTCAAGAGTATTTGGATCTGGGTCATATGAGAGAAGTTCCCCCGTCTTACGATACTCCAAACTATTATCTTCCACACCATGCTGTGATCAAACCCGAGAGCACCACCACCAAACTACGCGTGGTATTCAATGCTTCTAGCCCTTCAGCAAATGGGACAAGCTTGAACGATATTCTTCATGCTGGTCCAGTCCTACAATCTGATTTAACCATTCAGATCTTGAAGTGGCGTTATTTCCAGTACGTGTTCAGTGCAGACATTACAAAAATGTACCGTCAAATCTGGGTCGATCCCAAGCACACGCCGTTCCAAAGAATCTTATTCCGCAACAAAGAAGGAGAAGTAAGCGATTTCGAACTAAAAACCGTCACCTTTGGTGTCAACTGTGCACCGTTTCTGGCACTTCGCGTACTCCAACAATTGGCAGACGACGTAGAAACGGAATTTCCTAAAGCAACCAATATTATTCGGCATTTTATGTACGTAGACGATGTTCTGGCAGGGGCCAATTGCATACAAGAGGCTCGACTTGCTATCAGCGAGCTTTGCCACGCTTTTAACCTTGCCGGGTTCCCGTTGAGAAAGTGGACGGCGAATCAGAATAGCATACTCGAAGCTATCCCTAACGAACACCTACTCCACGATGACTTTCGCGATCTCAATTCCGAAAGCACTACCAAAACACTGGGGGTTCCGTGGAATGCGACCTCGGACGAGTTCTATTTTGTTCCACCGCTAGTTTCGATTGAATCTACGTATACGAAGAGAGAGGTTCTTTCCCAGATCGCGAAACTTTTTGACCCCGCGGGATGGCTGTCCCCGTTTATTGTCCGCTCAAAAATCTTTATGCAAGAAATTTGGTTGCAACAGTTGGGCTGGGATGAAAATATCCCCACAGAAATGAATCAAAGATGGCAAGAGTTTTTGCGCAGCTATTCCGAGCTCAAGCAAATCCGTAATCCTAGGTGGGTTGGGTTCCAGCCAGGTGTGAAAGTCGAGCATCATGGGTTTTGTGATGCGTCGCAGAAGGCATATGGGGCCGCAATATACTTGCGGGTTGAAGTAGGACATAATATTATGACACATCTGCTTACCGCCAAGACCCGAGTCGCACCTGTTAAAACGGTGTCCCTTCCACGGCTCGAACTGTGTGGGGCCTTGTTGTTGTCAGAAATGATCGCAGTTATCCTTCCGAATATGCAAATTTCCAATTCCGACATTTCCTGCTGGACTGATTCCACCATCGTCCTCGCATGGTTGAACAAACCGGCATGCCAATGGGCCACGTTTGTAGCCAACCGAGTGACCAGGATTACTCAGGTGACGAGCGCTGAGCATTGGGCGCATGTGCGATCTGAACACAATCCCGCGGACCTAGCCAGCCGAGGAGTTTCGCTGCAGGATCTGGTTCACAGCCAACTCTGGTGGAAAGGACCGGACTGCTTACAACAGCCAAAAGGCCAGTGGCCAACACAGGGGCTTGCGACTCCAGTTACAGACTTAGAGCAGCGTGCTGTGAAGGTCAATTTCGCAAAGGCCCCATCCGACGATTTTCTGGAGCGATTCTCCAAATTGGACAAGGCTCTGCGGGTCCTTGCGTACGTGTTACGGTTCACTCAACGCTGCCGCAAGATGCCGAGGGGCCCAGCTGACCGGCCTACAAAGGAGGAGGTCCGAGAAGCTGAAAGAGCCCTTATTCTATATGCTCAACGTGAGGAATATACCCAAGAGCTTAAATTCCTAAACGATAAGTGTCCAATTCCAGTGTCCAGCCCGATAGCCAACCTGTTTCCATTCCTAGACCAGCACGGCCTTTTAAGAGCATGTGGTCGCATTACTGCCTCAACAGCACTTCAGTATGACGAGCGCCATCCTATTATACTGCCATATAACTGTAGGCTTTCTCGTCTGCTCGTCCTTTTTTCACACCAGATTTCCCTGCATGGCGGCAACCAACTAGTGGTACGCCTCATTCGATCGAAGTATTGGATTCCTAAACTCAAGAATCTGGTAAAAGCTGTGCTAAACGCCTGTAAGGTGTGTACTATTTACAAGAAGAAATTACAGACGCAATTAATGGGCGATCTTCCGACCGATCGAGTGTCCTTTTCCAGGCCTTTTACATATACTGGCATTGATTATGCAGGCCCATTTGAAATAAAAAACTATACAGGCAGAGCATGCCTCATTACCAAGGGATATGTTTGCGTGTTTGTATGTTTCTCCACAAAGGCGATCCATTTAGAGCCTACTTCCGACCTCATAACCGAGAAGTTCCTCGCAGCCTTTGCCCGATTCGTAGCGAGGAGGGGTTGTCCTCAGCGGGTTCATTCGGATAATGGCAAAACCTTTGTGGGGGCAGCGACTCTACTTTCGCGTGATTTTATGCAAGCGATCAAGGAGTCTGTGACTGATGCCTATAGCCATCAGGGACTTTTGTGGCGTTTCATTCCACCAGGAGCTCCACATATGGGAGGACTATGGGAGGCTGAAGTGAAAAGCTTTAAAACACTTTTCTACAAGTCGACGTCAAGTCGGAAGTATACGTTTGAAGAGCTCTCTACCCTTCTTGCCAAAGTTGAAGCGTGCCTTAACTCCAGGCCACTGTCTCCCATGTCCGAAAATCCTTCTGATTTGTTGGCGTTAACGCCAGGCCACTTTCTGATTGGGGGTCCGTTGCTTTCCACAGCTGAACCCGAAATTAAGGGCGATGCTAAGTCGATTATAAATCGCTGGCAACATTTAAAGGCCCTGCATCAGCAGTTCAGTGCGCGATGGAAAGAGGAATATTTAAAGGAACTGCACAAGCGCAATAAGTGGCAGAATCCGTCCAAAGATATACAAGTCGATGATATGGTGGTAGTCAAAGAAGACAATATGCCATCAAACGACTGGCGGCTCGGCAGAGTTGTATCTGTCTTTCCAGGGGCCGATAGTAGAGTTCGCGTAGTAGAAATCCGTACCGCTCGAGGAATTATTAAACGCCCCGTCCATAAGCTAGTACTTCTTCCTATGGAAGCCAAGGCAGTCTCAGTACTTCCAAAATAGTGCCTTCTGTCCTCATGCTCCAAAATTCGTTCACGCTTGACACTAAATGTACTTATCATTTATTTTTTTTTTATATATTAAAGCATTAAAACCATGGCTCCACGACCTCGCAGCGCCCAAGCTCTGGACGACAGACGTTCCCGAGGTACTCGATCCTACCGCTGCCGAGTCTGTCGGGGAATCCATCCGCTACGGAAATGCAACAGGTTTCTGAGGCTCAGTACTGAAAGGCGGCTACGCGCCGTTATCATTAACAAATACTGCGCTAATTGCCTGGCACATCAGCACTCCGAAGAAGTATGTCGCAGTGGAGACACGTGCAAGAAATGTGGGCAGGACCACCACACGTTGCTCCATATGCGCGAGTCTTCCAGTTCGCGCCGCCAGTCAATTTCTCCAGTGCGACCTTCGGTAACTGCATCACGCCCATCGGCTTCCGGCTCACGCTCTCGGGGTCCAACACCCAGCCCGCGGAATCGTGCCCAGCATTCCGACCAGGCCGAAGCGCCAACTGCAGCTCCGTCTGTGGCGTCTCTGTTGCAGCATCGGAGTGTGCAAATCATCCCGACGGCCATCGTGGTTCTCGACACAGGAACCAATAAATACGAGACGGGTGCCCTGATCGACCCGTGTTCCCCGGTGAGCACCATTGATAGATCGCTCGCTACGGCGTTCCGGCTCCCCACGACAAGCGTCGGAGACGAGACGGTCTGTTCGGCGACGATAAGGTCACGAACAGGCACCTTCAAAATCGACGTGGTGCTCAAGGTCAGCCCCAACTTCTCCACTCGCACTCCAATCCGTGCACTAGCCGACGATGTTCGCGCTAGGTTTAATGATATCCGTCTTGCTGATGAACAGTTTCATCGCCCGGCGACGATATCCCTGGTGTTGGGCTCTGACGTCTATCGTGACGTCATCCAACCCGGGTTCCTAAATCTGGATGAGGGGCTGCCTGTCGTACAAAGCACTGTGTTCGGCTGGATTGTCTCGGGATCCTGTAGACAATCTTAAGGCGCCAGACGTGTGGAAAACTTGGTTGATACGTTTGCCGTCGCAAGGGGGGGAGAATGTCCGCGCCAAGGAGGGGCCACTGTCCAAATTATGCGTTAACAGTCGAGAGCAGTTATGTCCAGATGAACTCTCATCTCGCTCTCGGTCTGTTAACAGTCTCCACCCCCGCTCTCCTAGCATTAGATTTAAGTAGAGTTAAGCAGTTATGACTACGAAGCCACTAAGTGAAGTTGTGCAACTTATGTGAAATAAATTATATTGAAATAAAAATCAGAGTGAATAAAAGGGAACCCAACGAGTCACCATTTCCTTCATCAATTCCACGGGCAGAAGTCCGCCCTTGGTCCAACTCTATTTCTCCTTTACACCGCAGATATTCCCAAGAACGAGCGGCTAACTACTTCTACATTCGCAGACGATACCGCGATCCTAAGTCGGTCCAAATGCCCAATTCAGGCAACAGCACTACTAGCTGATCTGGCGTATAAAAATAAATGCGCAAAAGTGTAAACACATAACGTTTACTCTTAACGGACAAACGTGTCCAACGCTAACTCTAAATAACACGCCACTTCCACAATCTGACGATGTAACGTACCTTGGGATCCACCTAGACAGGAGACTTACATGGCGGAGATATATCGAAGCTAAGAAAATTCATCTAAAACTAAAATCCAGTAGCCTTCATAGGCTCATAAACGCTCGCTCCCCCTCTGCCTAGTCTTTAAGGTCCTGCTCTACAATCCAACTCTTAAGCCAGTCTGGACTTACGGCTACCAATTGTGGGGAAACGCGAGCAGCAGTAACATCGATATTATCCAGCGAGCACAATCAAAAATTCTGAGAACTATCACAGGGGCACCTTGGTATGTTCGGAACGACAACATCCACAGAGATCTTAGCATTCTACCCGTAAAAGATGAAATATCAAAACAAAAAGCGGCCTTCCACGCCAAAATAACTTCTCATCCAAACCAGCTCGCCAGGGGCCTAGCCAGGATTTCCAACCGGACCCTATTACAACGAAATGACCTTCCAGCTCAGCAATAGTTATTAGAGCCCTTTCATCTCGCGTCAGTCATCTTGACTGTCAGATATAGTTTTAATTTAGGATTTTATATACTTATTGTTAGTTTCAATTCAGAGAACATTCAATAAATAAAATGCATATGTAAACAAAAAAAAAAAATGAATTATAATTTATTAACTTAAAACTATTTCAAAAACGGTAAGCATAAAAAGGATTCCTAAAACTTAACAAAAGAACATTAATTATTTATCTAAATTCGACTTCACCATTTACTTCGTCTAGATTGCTTTTGCAGATCTCAATATTTAGTTATTTCCCATAGCGAGCTCAAAAGCTGGTGCTGATGATGCTGCTTATCCGTTCATTTAGAGGGTAAAGGGGAAAGGGAAGGAAGTCTGTTAACTTTTTTTCTTTCGCAAATTAGTTCTCGCGAAGCATTAGAACGATTTACAGGTATTCGTTGCGATTTCTTTTCTTTTGTCAAACATTTGGTTTATCTTGCGTTTGCAAACCTTAATACAATTGAAAATATAATAAACTCACTTACTTTTGGATTACATTTCCATCTGTGAAGCGCTTCAATTATGAATGCTAAATAAAAAGTAAACAAATAAATTAAAACTAACGCTTATAACCACAGTTTTCGCAGGCGTCGCCTTCGGGGTCTCCCAGCGCCAATAGTTGCGCGCTTGCAACGGAGAACCGCATCTGCCACCATATTACAAGTTTATTGCGTTTAAATTCGTTTTGAAATTTAACCTTGTAAAAGTCAATGAATTCTAACTTTTCAAATTCGAAACATACTCTGTGTCATTAATTACAAGTTTGTAAAAAGCCCCTGAGCAGACTTCTGGTCATCTTTGACGACCGCTTTCGTCGTGTTTCCATCCACTCTCACTAAGCCACCTCCACTTTAATGTCCGAGTAACTCTGCCGAAATATGGGTTTTATCAAAAAAGCGAAATAACCGAAATATTTATTTTTTCACTTATTATTCACCTACATTTCCTCTTTTTTCGAAGTAACAACCGCAACTTAAAATATTATTTTTGCCAATGCTCAGCGGATCACTCCTTCAAGCCAAAATTCACCACCGCCATTCCGGTCAGCAGAGGCGCCAACTATTTCCACTCCAATATTTCTGTCTTAAAAGAAAACCTTGTAAGGATGCTCTCTGGACGGGGTACAGATCTCAGTCAGATCCAGGAGTCCTTTACAAGAAATTTGTAAATCACCGCAACACCGGACTAGAGAGTTTCATTCAACGAGTGAATGAGTCGTTTGGGAGGTCACGCCGAAAGTTCTTATGGACGCCAGGAGAGAGAGGTAGTGTAGGAAATGATTGCGCCGTATCTCGCTCCGGAGTTAAAAATTCCACGGGCTGGACTTTGGGGCGAGGCCAAGCCAGGCGAACGACTTCACGAGGGTGGGAACGCCGGGTAATCCCACTGTTCACTTCCGCGATTGGGACACGTAAGACGTTTTCCGCGTGTCAGAGGCCAAAAATCCACCGAGCTGGACCTTCAGGCGAGGCCAAGCCGGGACACTATTTCGGCTGGTGGGTGGCGTCACGCGCAAGTCGTTTTCGACGTATCGGATGCCAAAAATCCACCGGGCTGGATCTTCGGGCGAGGCCAAGACGGGTAGAATTTGTCGGACGTGGGGGGATTGGAAAGAAAAGGATGGCGGTATGATTGACCAGTCGGGAATGATGTCCGCGCGCAGATCACATGCACTACGAGGAGGAAAGCTAGAGTACTAGACCAGACGGGCCGGGTGTCCGCGTGCCGGTCGCATGCGCTACGAGGAGGAAAGCTAGGGCACTAGGCCATACGGGCCGGGTGTCCGCGTGCCGGTCGCATGCGCTACGAAGGGGGGAAATCTAAGATACTAGACCAGACGGGACGGGTGTCCACGTGCAGGTCTCAAATGCTACGATGAGGGAAGCTAGGATACCAGACCAGACGGGCCGGGTGTCCGCGTACCGGTCGCATGCGCTACGAAGGGGGGAATCTAAGATACAAGACCAGACGGGACGAGTGTCCACGTGCGGGTCTCAAATACTACGATGTGGGGGGCCAAGATACTAGACCAGACGGGCCGGGTGTCCGCGTACAGGTCTCAAATACTACTAAGAGGGAAGCTAAGATACTAGACCAGACGGGCCAAATGTTCGCGTACAGGCCACATGCACTACAAGGAGAGAAGCTACTGGTCGACTGCGAATAAAAGAATCACAAACGAGGGATTTCACTTATACTTCTCTTTATTTCTTTTTTTTTCTAGATTATTTTTTTTTTATCTAATACCCTCCTACGAGTCCGCTACACCGTCTTTACTCAACGTGGAGGAATATTATACACACTAACCTTAAAACACCGATCAGCTCACTTATTCACTGGTCGCGTGCCGCCGCGCGGTCGAGGCGTTACTCGGATTATACGGAAAATCGCTGCGGGAGACACGTCCGGCCCGTCTTACTATTCCGACACGAGAGACCGCTCGCTCGATCGGTGTATGACCACCTTCCCCACGCTCCCTTTTTCTCGCTTTCGGGATTTCTAGTATGTTCCTAAATTTCTAGTATTTTCTATTACTCACTAAATATCGGCTGGCGTTGCCACTCGGGTTTGGAACTTAATTAATATTCGGTTTCAACTTAATATTTATTATCCATTATGCGTCGCTTACACCTAATACCTTACATACTATTAACTTAATATTTATTATTCATGATAAGTCGCTTACACCTATAACCTTACATACTACTAAAAATTGTATCGTACACCGTCTAGGTGTGTACGTTACATACCCCCCCCACTCTTTCTTCCCGTGGGGCGATAAAGAGGCTCCCGTCACTCTTGATGGTGACGATGAAGCGGAGTCCGTCGCCTCCTATACCTATGCGGACTCGGCGTCCGCGGCCGGCCCGGGCCGCTACCTTCCTTCTGATCTCCTGGACAATACGTCTAGGTAGGTAACGCAAACCGCTACCACCAATCCAGCCCTCCGGTAATGGGCAAAGGTCATCCTCCCCTTCTGCGGGTTCCGCCAACTCCAATGCGGAAGTCGGTACGGCGTTTACTTCGCCCGTCATCGCAGCACTTGTTGGGGTATCCCTGGCGGCGGATTCGGTCGAATCGATCTCCGAAATATCCATTAGGACCTGGTCGAGCAAGCGATCTTCCCATTCGGCGAGTTGGTCGATCGGATGAGCACAGTTGGGGAAGTGCTGGGGATCTACGGCCCCGTCCCACCGCTGTCCAGCGTCTCCTCGATGGAGATAAACTGGGCGAGATCTGGCCGAGGTGTCCACGTCCTGCAGATCTTGCTGCGGCGAGGTTTGGAAACAACGGCGGAATAGTGGCCTTTCTCCTTCGTCGTCTTCACTGTCGGAGATCAGCTCGAATCCCGCTAGGTATACGGGATCCGCGGAGTCCGACGTTATGACATTGGGGTCGCACCTGGGTTCGGGGAGTCCTGCTTCCTGTACGGGTTCTACATCCCGCAACCGACCTTGGTTAGACGGAGAGGTCTGAGTACTCCGGCTAGACAGTTTCGCCTTCTTGACCCGCTCCACGGCTGGGGATGTCTGAACCCCTTGAGAAATCGACACGGGGGGTACTACAGTCCGTCGGGGCGGGGTCCTCGGTTGTCCTACCCTCTCGCCGACTGCCTTCTCGACGTCAACTTCGGGATCTGTCACTCTGCGATTTTCCAACGACGGGGGCAGAGGCGGGGATGGCGGTTCGTCGACGTAGGGTCCCTCTGCAGGTAACCCCGGGACTTTGATCACCACCGAGCGGACGTCGATACGCATAAGCGATACGTGTCCAGCGTACCGGCAGACCTGGTCTTCGGACGTGTGATGGTACGAATGCTCCACGTCCGGGAATCTTGGAGGACTGGGTCTTGGGTAACCCGGATGGCCAGACCGAGGGTCACGTCGGGTCCACGGGTACTCCTCCTC